GTCTCAAACTGCAGCTATTGATCATATGATAGATAGATAGATAGATAGATAGATAGATAGATAGATAGATAGATAGATAGATAGATAGATAGATAGATAGATTATCACGTCATTAAGGCCTTTACCTACCTTTTTAGAAGCATATCAAATCCTGTACATTTTAAATGCCACATTGTCAACATTCTCTGGGAAATGAAGGAGAGCTGGTTTCTTTTTATTCAACGACTGCTGCCAGCAAAAGGAAATGCAAAACTCAGAAAAATAAACTGCAACATGACCATTGGCTAAGTCATCCGTTTATCCTTAAATTTTATTTTAATGCTACTCCCACTTGTAGGTAAAGTGCAGATCTACTCTTGAATAGAAGCAGATGGTCACTGCAAACGACCACGATTTTTCCAGTTAGTAAATTAATATCTTTGCAAGTTTAATAACTGTATAAATGTATTTATCTATGCCCAAAGGACAATTTGATGGGTCATAAATGTTTAACAACAGCCAAATAGGATCTGAGAAAAAAAAAGTCAACATTATATAACTTATAAACAAATGTAGTGTAGCCAATGGGCAGGAGTAAAATGTTACTGAGCTAATTGTATCAAAACAAAATGATGTTTCCAAATTCTGGTGATCATAAGAGGTGCAGAAAAAAATATTTTTTCAAGAGATCCTAATATCTGGTTCCTCTCCTTTTCCAGCTGCAGATTCTAGCTCCCCCACTCTCCCCAAACCAAAAAAAAAAAAAAAAAAAAAAAAAAAAACAAGCACAAGAAGATAAAGTTGACACACTTTATTCCTAAAACAGAAGCCACATCACCAAGTGCTGGCGTGGCGTTCATATATATATATATTTATTTATTTATATTGCAATTTGTTTTTTTGTGTCTAAATGTGTAGTATAAAATATTATTTACAACAATGTACCTCTTTATTTGAACACAGTGAAGTTCATTGCTGTACAATTCCTCTGTAGCTACAGCTTTGCTGTAAGTCCTTCATGCTCAAAGGCATGGAGCAGAACTCTCCACTCAAATTCTTCTGTACATTGTGACAATACAAATATTCTGTCTCCATTACAAAAAAATAATACTCTAAAAGTGACCTTCTGGGACTTTATATCATTTTTATGTTTTTTCCCCTTGGCTGTTTTATTAAGACATATATCTTTGACCAATTGCTTTAAAGCAGGTAGGTGATATAAACCTCCATATATATATATATATATATATATATATATAAGGTAAGAAATAAGACAAATTATACATTTAAAAACTTACAATAAATAAGATAGATGCAGGCGTTTCATTTGGATACTATTTCATCCAAAGCATTAAAAAGGAATTTTATGATTTAAAACCAAAAATCCTTTGAGGTTTTTAAATTCCCCACCCCTTCCCCCCAATCCCAATATGTCCCTTTTCTTCCATTAACTTTAAAGATAGAGTCAGGTACAGATTGGCCAGTGACTGTACTGCCATGCTACATACCATAACAATCTATCATTCACACGTTCATTAACTGCATCTCAATTTCTGGTTCTCCTCTTTTCTTTATTCTCTTGTTCTCGTGTAAATGTCTTGTTAGATCACAGGGCCAGGACTGTGTGGACCAGTAACAGCAGCAAGGGGATGGAACCAGACATGCTTCACCCAGCCAAACGGTCCACTTTTGGTACAGCATCAACTCTGGCGTCCTCCTCAGGTGATAAGACCCCCTGCCTGAGGCAGTCACTTTGCTCTTCTCGTAAATTCTATCACAACAAGACTGCTGGTTACAACATGTTCATGATGAAGTTGTACATCTGGTTCAGCACCACAAAGTGAATGGGCAGACACGAGCGTCGGTCCTGTGTGGCGGGGTCGCATGTGAGCCAGGAAAGAGCATTGTACTGCTCCAGTACGAATCTGTTCAAATACAGAAAAATATTCAGTTACAAGTAAATGAGATAATGAAAACATTTGACTACATTCTGACAATAAATCTTTCTCAACTTTATAAGATTAATTATAAAAGCATAAATAAGGAAATTTATGAAGATCTGGATAGGTGGAACCTGCTTCCCCTTGACCTCAGCAGCAGAATACGAACAATAAAGATAAATATTCTTCCAAGACTACTATATGTTTTTGCAGCACTCCCAGTAGAGGTTCCAGCAAAACAATTCAGGGAAAGGGATAAACATTTTTCAAGATTTATATGGAATAATAAAAGGCCAAGAGTAAGATACTCAACCCTCCAACTTCCGGAGGAACAGGGAGGTTTAGACCTGCCTTGTTTAATGTTCTATTACTGGTCTGCACAAGTTAGACCTCTTATATGTTGGTGCAACCCCACTTATGAAGCTAAATGGAAGGACATTGAACTTTCCTTGTTGGACTTCCCTATACAATCTGTTTTGGGTTGTATGGATAGACTGCCCCAAGTATGTGATAATCTGTGTGTAAGTTTTTCCTTAAGAAAGTGAGCAGCAGAGGTGGTTAAGAAATTTAATCTCCACAGACAGATAGKAATGTTGAGTACACCACCCACTCTTCCTTCCAGCATTGATGGATCATAAATATAAGATATGGGAAAGACAGGGAATCACTTCATTCTGTAAGATAATAAAAAGGGGGAGTTATTAACTTTTGAGGAAATGTGCCATACTTATGGGTTGAATAGAGAAGATTTCTATCGTTATTTGCAGATTCAAAGTTTTTTTAGGAGGGAAATCATGACTACAGACTTCGATACAAATACAGGGATAATTCAGATATTTATGGATGAATATGCTGCCAAAAATTCAAAATGCATCATTGGTAAACTTTACARAAATTTCACAGCTATGAAGAAGATCTCAACAGAGTACACCAGACAGAGGTGGGAGACAGAAGCAAACATTATAATTTCACAGGAAAATTGGCAGCAAATGTGGAAGAATATTTTTTCCACTACAAGCTCTTTGATACGGAGAGATTTCTGCTGGAAGAATTTAATTAGATTTTTTTATTACCCCAAAACAGAAATCTAGATTAGGTGACTCACAGACTGTTTGCTGGAGGGAATGTGGGATGTGACCTGTAGATTACTATCATGTGTTTTTGGGCATGTTCAAAGCTGAAAACCTTCTGGAAGGCTGTGAAGCAAATAATCTTTGAAATCATGGGCACAATTTTAGACCTTTCCTTTGCTGTTCTATACCTTGGAAGGCTTCCTGAGGGTCTCAACACAAGTGATATCCACTTATTGAAGATCTGTATGGCTGCAAGCAAGAAGGCAATTACTAAATGTTGGCTTCAACAAAACCCTCCCACCCTGAAACTTTTAATAAATATTATTAACATGATCCAGGATATGGAGATGTTGAGTTTTTCAATATGTCTCCAGAAGGAGAAAGGAGAGAGACTCTGGGAAAAGTGAGTTTGTTTTGCACCTAAAGATGTAACCATTAACTGATAAYTCAGAAACATTCTGATTGCCATGTTTTATAACTTGCACCTAACAGTTTCCTCAGTATTTACTTTTCCTGTTCATTTTTTTTCTGTTACTTCTTTTTCTTCCCTGGGATAAACAGGAATATGTCTGTAAATCACAATGATAAATAAGATGACTTGTTATTATTTACTCCAGCCCTCATGTATGTTTGTTTGATATTTTGTGTTTACAAAAATTAATAAAAACAAAGTAAAAAAAAACATTTGACTACATTGTGATGCACAGTGGTGGGCACAGCTAACCAAAATTTAGGTTCACTAACCACTAATTTGCTAAACAAGAATCTTAGCTCCGCTCATGCTAAACTGCTAAACAGATTAAAAATAAAATAAAATAAAATAGTGGAAGCTAACGCTAGTCGCTAAAACGATTGTCACTCAGTCTGTGTCATGTTTCTTCATCTCATTCCAGATGAATACTGGTGGACTGACGCAAACCTGTTGTTAAATTTGTTTGGTTAAATTGAAGGTGGGTGGGATCATCTGTGACTAACTGGCCAATCCAAACMAGCGTTAAGGCTGGGTTATAGTCGCGCTTTGGGTACTCCCTAGCGGTGTAGGTGTTTATGCTCGACTCTAYGCTGTTGTATTATTCTCCGAAAGGACATGTGGGAGTACAATTTATAACTTGTAAAAATGTTGTAAATAGGACAGCAAAAGCTTGACGAACAAAAAAAATCTGCACATGATTCCTGCTCTCTCCTTTTTTAATTTAATTGGTGCATTTTAGGTGCATTTTTTAATTTTTATTTGTCTATTTATATATTTCTACTTTTATTTCTAATTATGTGAGATTCAGTCCCCTCGTGCCTGCTGCGACATGTCAACTACAAACCTAGCTTTATAGCTCTAGCTAACTTGTGATATGTCTAGTTTACCCCTTTCAGAATAAAAGCACTGATCAGGTTTGTATTTTTTATAAATGCCTTTTGAAATTAGTTAAATAAAAAATAGCAAATACTTTCTCTAACGTAATTTATACATGGTCAGTTTTTTTGCATTTGTTTTTTAAATATTGTAAAACGATTTATTTTGACACTCAGTTTGAGTTTAGCTGCTAAAGATGCTATATGCTGCACACACAGTGCCAGACACACTGCTTGTAAGAGGGGATAGTTCTGTTTTATTCGAAATAATGGAATAAAAGTAGAAATTACAATTGTGAATTTTTTAGTGGACTTAATATTAGTAGAAACTAATCAATCTGTTAATGGTTTCCAAGGTTAGCAAAAAAAAGCTGATCCACTAAATTTAGTTTATTCATTTCATTCATTTCTTTAAAAACAACGTAAATTCAACAACAAACAAAACAATACAAATCACAATTTAAATGAAAGGCAGCAGCAGAAGAAAAATTCTTATTATATCTGCCCCTTTTTCGCAAAAAAATTTTCTATCCAAAATTGTTTACAGATTCAATGAGAAGACAGTTCCACAATTAGTGGATTTGCAGACCTGTGTCCACCACTGCTGATGATAAATGATAAGTGCCAATATAGAGAGTAAATGGATTGTTTGAAAAGACCTTTGGAAAGTTTTAAATTCCTACAGGAGTGCAGGCGATCTCATTTGCATACCTRTTTTTAAATGTTGGTAGAATTCTACTTATTATTAAAATTTGGGATGGGTTGTTTTGATAAATAGTAAAATGAAATTGCTCCAAAAATGGCACTACAGCATGTAAAAATGTAAACTATATAAACTCTATATAAACCATAAAACCATAAAACATCACTGTAAAAACTGATATAATCCCTGTTCAGTCATGTAACAGGGTTTATACAAGAATCCTAGAGTTGARTTTACTACCTTTTACTACCAATTTTTWCTACCTCTACAATATTTTTACTACCAARTCAAATTCTGTTTGTTACCTTTTTCACTGGCCTTAATTTGAGCTCCTTTAATTTACTACCTTTTACTACACTGCGGCAACCCTGTGTAACATTAAACTTTCCATGACTAGTTCGATATCTAAAGAGGGCTGAGTTATTTTTAACACATTTTACCAAAGTAATATTCTTGCTTTGGGYGCTTGTTTCTTTTTTTGGTGCAAATTTAATCTATTCTGGTCAATATGCTGCTAGGAAAAGTCATAGCTCAGCATCTAATCAAGTTGCATGCTTGATGTTTTCTCAAACTAAAGTAGTAGCAATTTAAAAAAATGTGATAAAAATTAAATAACAGGCAAACAGTAATAAAAGTGGTACAATACTTATGCACTAAAACTTCTAATATTGTGTGAAATATCAGTGAACATTGTTAACCTTTAAAAAGAATACAAAAAGCACTTCAGTTGCAAACTGCCAACAGTCAGGAGGGTGTTAGTAATTTGTGCACTTGATTCCAGGAGTTGTTCACCTGAGTACATCTGAGGTCTGATTGGAGTCGAGGGGGTGGGAGTGTTTACTATGCAGTAGTTCATCTGATTGCAATGAAGACGCATGGAGGTGCAGAGAGGCCTGAGCAAAGAAGCAAAAAAAGAGAAAGAGGCCATCAAAAAAAAGAGAGAGGGCATCAAAGACTATACTGAAGCTTTTAACCTTTTATTTCATCTCGTCTAACTAATAATAGATGCTTTGCCGAGGGGAATGTGCAAGTAAATACAGTGTATATAAAAATCTGTACTAAAGTTTAAATGTGATTGCTCAGGTTTGTTCACATAAGGAAGTAAAATGATTTACATTTCACCAACAGCTCCCTTTTACAACTCTCTTAACAACTGTTGTGGTTTAATGATGTGTTCCCACTGCCTATATTTGACAACTTCCATGAAATCTGCAGAAACCCCTAATTTTATTTTTGTTTACAGATTTCTAGATCGTTCAGATTATATATACGTATATAAAGGTAGAAATCACTGATTGGCATAAGAAAGTCTAACTTTACAAAAACCCTGCAACATTTTGGCTTAGCCTTAAATAATGACAGTGCATTTTATTCTACATTTGATTGTTCATTTCTGAATATTACGTACTTAACYCTTTTAATCTGACTGCCCAGTTGCTGTTTGCGCATTGCTGCAACAATACAACACTTAAATTTTTCCTATTAAGACATCAGAGGGCAGAGGCTGGTACCTTGAGGAAGAGTGGACACTGGTTCTGAGCCTGCGGACAAGCCGACCAGAACCAGTCAGGTAGCGGGCCAACCTTCGCTGTAGAGACAAAGTAGCCAAGTGCCAGAGGCTGCTGCAGGAGGTTCTGAACCTCTTCATGAGACTCCATCCGATCTGTGCTCTGCCCCTGAAACATGGAGGAAACATTCACTTTTGTTAGCAGGTGTCAGATCCCAGGTTGGAACTGTGTGTGTGTGTGTGTGTGTGTGTGTGTGTGTGTGTGTGTGTGTGTGTGTGTGTGTGTGTGT